TGAGATTTGGAGTCAAATTATTCAAAGACGACAAAGACACTATAGGAAATGACGTCATCACAATTATGACGTCAAAACTGTTACCATGGATACAAAATGAACTACAACATCACAGGAGAGGARTAACGCCTAAATATGATATTTAACTGGTTATCTAKATATAGATATATWATTTATAAAAATTAACTGATATCTATGACGTCATTGTGACGTCATATAGAACAGGGGTCAATTAAAAAATACAAAAATATTATTTTCAAGTCATTTCAATAATAATCAGATGATATTGCAGCATTCTCTATGGAATTGTAGGCAATTTATTAAAATGAATTATAAATCGTTAAAATGGTRAAAATGACGTCATTATGACGTCACATTTGGTTCCCACGGGTCAAGACTGGGTGTGGTGGTTCGTTTTACGTGGGCGACCATTGTGTGAAAATTTCATGCTCATAGACGTATTGGTTCCGAAGATATTGAGGGGGGGCGAATGAGCCCCCCCTCCCCAGTCACAGATTGAAAAAAAAAGCCCAGTCTGAATAGGGTTAAGGAAATGAATACATCGTCGGTCATTTTGAGATTGCAACATTTTGGAGGTGAACGTACACAGTTTTTGCCTACTTGCCAAATTGAAATCACAACTCCCTTGAACAATCCAGACCTAACAGACCGTTTGATATTTAATGTCGACAAATGCTTTCCAAACACTGACGCAGCTCATACTAGTTTCCACCATCATTCCTTGGAAAGATACCTATTTAAAATGATAGATTAGTAGATATCATTAACATTATAATCTATCTAGAATCCTGAATTTTTGGTGAAAGCCCATGAAAACATTGGAAATTCAGCAAACCCAACAGCAATGCGTGTCCTCTTCTACCCGCCAATACCCAACGATTACGTCGTCAAGAAGGACCAAGTACGATGTGGTGAACACAGTGACTATGGTTCGATAACACTACTCTTTCAGGACGAACTTGGCGGACTACAGGTATTCTGCACTGGTCAGTTGAAATCATAGACTTGCGATCCCTCGGAAACTAATAGCGTGGATATAAACGCAAAACGTCTCGACAGCCTTTTAAGTATAGTTTAAAACATGAGAGAGAGTGTTTTATCAGCAGGTATAAAGATCCATGCATGTGACCAAATAGGCTCATTCTATTGGCCTAATAACTCATTAATTATGTATGAGTTTTTGAAATTCACTTAAAAGCTCCCTTCAACACAAGTCCAGAAATTTTTCGAATCGGAATATTAGTATATGACTAATTAAATATCAGTTTATCCCCAGTTTATCTGGATAAAAAAAAATACCTGTGTCCACACTTAGCATAGTCATCCCATACGAGTCCGGTTATCCCAAGTGAATCACCAGAGCATGCGCATTACAGACTGTGATGTCATCGTATCCAGAAATTATCGGATATTAGAATCCACACGTATTCAACACATATCTTGAGACACATCGTATATGGAAGTCTCCGGAGACACTTGGAGACCGCAAGGTTATACGATGCAATTTCAAATTCGCGACTGTTACTGTTACTTGAGATTGGGAGCTCTGGGAGTTTCGATTGATTTGTGTATAGACGGAAATCCAAGGCACTTGGGTGAACGCTCAGATTATTTTTTTTCTAAGGTACTTCCGGTCCATGGTGACTACATATCGGCTCCAACACTACCCGGGTGTGTAATCGTTAACATTGGCGACCTTATGCAACGATGGACTGCTGACCAGTTTATAGCTACGGTAAAACTCAGGACTCATATCGTTTTCAAAACGCAATGTTCAGCGACGCCATTTTGTGCAGCTGAAGCATGATGGCAGCTGCTAGACTCCTTCGCAGGTGGTAACTCTACTCTACTCACTACTGTGGGATTAATTCCTGAAGGCAAAAAAGGTGTCCTAATCTCTCTCGACACCATCTCTTCTCGGTCAAGATTATGAACACAGGAATACCAAGAAGAGAAGAAAGTCCGTTTCCGTTGGAGTAGCCTGCAAAGGAGCTAGATATTTATATTCCTCGCACTTTTTAATCTCCGCTAACAGTCCTCCTATAACTAGTCTTTGCTTTTTCTAAGCGAAAAAAGAAGTAGTTTCGAAAAAGGAAATGTATACATGATCGTCTTACTAAAAGGAAATATTTTAGGGTCTCAAATATTTAAGTACGAGTACTACAACTACCTTCATCGGCTTTGCTGCGCAAAATGGCGCTGCACATTGCATTATATAAGTGTATACATAGAGGACATTACAGTTTGGTATGTTTTGAATGGTCATAACTTCAATTTTCCTATAAGAAACATCATGAAACTCAGCCGTACGCCTTTTGTAGATGGAATTGCAAAAAAATTGAAATTCTCAAATCTATATATAGAAACACCGTGTTTTGATCCCTGACGACGAGTCTATTCGCATTCTGCCGCGAAGTTCCATGGCGTTTTTCGCTTTTCCAGACGGCGATACGGTAGTTGAGTGTCTCGACGGCTCTAACAAGTACCCGGCTGTTACTGGACAAGATTACCTGGAGCAGAAATTCAGTGATACTTACAAGTACTGACGTCACTGTAGTTCAACCCTGATCCATATAATTCCCGGAGAGTCTTTTTTCCCTAATGAATTTCTCGCTGGCAAACAGTTCAGTGACTTCCAGCTGGTTGGGACATAAGAACAGATATATTTCTCCCAGGAACCCCTCGGCTCCTCCTACCTTGTGTATAACACAGGAATCCCAACTTTTAAAATATTGTCCTTGTAAGGGAGACTACAAATCTGCTTCTTCGTCTTGATTATTATTATTTTCTTTAATTTTGAAATATGAATAAAGTGTTAAAAAATGCAAATTRAGAAGGTGATTTATAATTTCAAAACGCCAAACTCAAATTTAGCCTGTGTACAAGTGCGTACATCCGGTTTATTTACGAGTAAACGTTGACCTCAATTTTTTCACGCACCGCAAGACTATATGCCCCCTGCCCACCCCCGACGTGGAAGTAAAAATGGACACTAGACAGGGGTCCCGGGGGAATTATATTATGCTTCCCGCTGCTGTCCAATTTACTCGAGTAACTGTTAACGACATTAGTTTGTCAGCTTTTCCCCTTCGAAAAATCATGCAGACATCTTTATACCTTCTCGTAGAAACGACTAAATATCTAAGGTATGTTAGATAGTGGTTGTTGGACGGAGCGTGTTTGAAATCTCAAGTTTGCAGCTGCAGGCGAACGGTAATCCTTTATTGCTTTCGAATTTTATGTCGAAWGTGAGCAGTTTTACGCCAAATTTTGAGCAAGAGAATAGCAACGTGTGAAGTAGTATATATTCTATTTGGAAATACATCCTTTCTTTTAATTTGGTGAGGATTTTTGTCGCTTTTCTTTTAGATCAAAAGTAAATTTGCATTTTGTCGCCGGCTTACCACTGTCTGCAGGATTTTCCAAGCCTTACATAAAATCTTTTTGAATGTTCTCAATTTTGAAATAACCGTTTCAAATGATCTCTTTTTAAGATGTCTTTCCTATACATGTTATTTCAGTTTGTGATTTTGTAGTGGTTTGGGTTAAAATATTCCATTGTTTGTTTGGAAAATGTCAAATTCAAGTGCGCTGTCACGCGCCGGCTTAAATTACAGCCAGGCCTTGACTTCAGGGGTCAGCCTACCATCAACACTAAACGTCGATTTATACCGAAGAATAGCACTTTGAATCCATTCTAATAGCTAAGCATGGGGATATTTCCAAGCAAGAATAAGGGAGCTAAAGGAAGGTATTTATTACGTTAGTTTTTGTTGCTTTTTTCGCCGTGTTTACAGAGAATTCCACGTCCTTGCCAACCGAACTCTGGCCGGGTACAAACATGGTTGAATGCTACTAGGATTACTGCCGGGTACGAAGTTGGACATTTGAACCATTTTGCGAGGGAAACAGCTTTTTTCGAAATACATTTAGCAGCTTTGTGCGTGTTAGATATGAAAATGTCTGATTCATTATTTGCTGAAGTTTGAAGACGATTTATATATTTGTTTTTTTTCGGCGTGTAGCTTCGTTACCAAGTAGGCGTATAATCCAGCGGGCATCCTTTTTTATTGTATCTTTTTTATCAGGAATTTTTGTCGTGTTACATGTATTATTGAGGCATGAAAAGTATACATGTTGTAATATTTTGCTTGTAATAGTGTATGATTCATATCGATGAGAAGCTAATCGAATCCTGGCATCAAACTTTGTTCCGGCGTTGTGACTGTTTTCCAGCTATTTTGAGCATTTATTTATCTTTTTACGTTTTTTACTGCTATTGTTTAAAACAACTTCTGAAGCACCAGATTTCTGTAACAAATAAACTAGAGATTGCTGTAATGTTTAATTTAGCCCACGCTTTCAAGTATAAAAGATTTGCGAGCAAAGTTCACTTCAATTATCATATAATCTTTCAATTTATAAGATTCCTAAATTGTTTTTGCATCGTCTTCACAATGTAAACCAATCTTTTACAGCAAAGAGTAAAACAAGCAAGCAAACAATCCATTGTTGTTTTTATATATTTGAGACCATATGGTCCGTGAACATCTTTTAAATATATGTATTGTGAAAAATGTAAATCGTACAGATTGATAAAATTTTGACCTATGAAAACCATCGTTTCTAATCAGTAAATTCAACACCATCAAATGTTAATAATATCAGTGCTCTCTTAGACTTGACATTTGATGAAGCAATAGCTGGCGATAAAAAAAATACTGCTTTACTTGTAGGCCCTAAAATGAATTTTAGCTTTATCCCTTCGAATTCAATAATGCGACTTGTTTGTATTTTTTAACACATATTGTTTTGCTGTGAATACTGAATAGATTGATTATAATCTTTTCTCTAGCACAGCGTGAAGCTGGTGGGCTTCGTTTAAACATATTCATAGCAAAGAAAGACGCCAATTTTGATTCACGAGAAATATAACGCTGGAATGCGTGACAATAGTAGGGTGTCACGCAAGTGGCATTATTCAAGCTCAACAATCGCGTATTAATAATAATAAAATAATACTAATAATAATTGTTAGTCTGCTGAGCAATACTTTTTTCGTTTTGATATATATGTAATGTGCGCTCATGCGTGGTAATAGCTGATCAGCTTAAAGCTTTGAAGCTTTTTTCAATACCTTTTTTTACAAAATTTTTGTTAAACTGCAAGAAACAATCCAAGTTTCTGTGTCTTTGTGCACGTTATTTAACAAATTTATGTTAGTTTCTCATTGTATGTCCTCTTTTTTAYKGCGRTTTTCATCATCGAATCATCAATATAATTGAAAATTGTTATTCGTCCACARGATGAATATTTTAAGTGGATAAATAACAATTTTGATGACAAGATGACAGGACTATTGCAAATTAGAGGACATACACATGAAGCTTTCATAAATTTGTTTCTTACAATTAGATAACAATCTCAGGAAAAAAGAGTRGTTTTGCAAACGTGGTATATACTTTCGTTTAAAATGGCTCTCAACCAATCAGAAATTGAGAACTATGGTAAAAAGACTTTTTTTAAAGGGCTACTTGGATGAAAAATGGCGAAACACTGGAAAAGACACGAAATTCTTGTAGACTTATCAATAAAGATCCTATAATCACGAAGCAATGTATTTTGACAAGATATTGATACAATTTCTTAGGAATTTTGTCAAAAGATTTTKGAGTATATGACGTCATATACTCCATCCTTTTGTTCTATCTTCGTTTGAGTCAAAAAAGTTTCTTCTTTGGAATGACTCCATAGCAAAACGTTTCTCTGAGAAAGCATTATAGGTATATATGAGTCATATATTTGAATTACACAGGGTTCTGAAATTAGTGCTTCTTCGTGCAAGTAGCACTTTAAAGCTTCCAATTGCATGTGTTTGCATGTTTTTGATTCAGGACTTATGTCCAGGTATGTTTATTGCTTTGTCATCTCATGAATGTATTACTATGTATAGCAAAGTTTGTAACATTAATATTTGATTGACACATTATCAACGATATGCAGCTTTATTTTTTTTCGGTCCGGTATCTTAGTTATTCGCGAGCTGTGATCGGCTAGCACCCGGTCTGGTATTACATGATCTGCCTAGTCCACAGTATCCTGCAGCTAGGTTGCGAGCAAAGTTGCAGCAAAATARATAAAAATAAAAAGTTATTTAATGGCTATAGGTTGGTCCGTATAGGAAAACACTACCTTCGATCTTTATGTACAGACCTCACTGTGCTCGGTTCGTACTGTCAAGACTTCGGGCAGTGTTTTCCTATAGGGACCTCCTACGGCAGTAAATAACATATATCAGAAAATGTTGAATACTGAATACTGTGATACCACTTAGTTCACTCCAAAACTTCATTGCATGTTACAATAATTGTAATTTATTATTAGTTTAAAAACTTCTTCATAAGCTGTGTTTCAGTTTGATTGCTTCCCAGTAAATTTCTTGACTGTGGAGAGTTTATGAAGTCACTCAGATAGAGCGGATTTCGTATGAGTGGGAAACGGACGGTACTGWACKRTKWCYGTRATCRTACTGTAACCAAATTCTAGTGCCCCATTGGTTCACCAAAATTCTGCAGGCCAGGTGCGGTAACTGTGCGGTAACCGTGCGGTAATGGTGTCCCACTCATACGAAATCCGCTCTAATAATTTCAGAGAACAATGCACCAGCCATTCTTGAAAAGTGAGACCGCAAATCACTATGTTGTGCCTTAGAACAAATTTCATAGTTGCGAAGTCAACTAATATATCATTAGATCTGCACAATACTTCTATTTGAAAAAAAGGAAAAAGAGAAGAGAATATCGATAGGCACTAAATTGTAAAATTGAATTTGTAATAATTGTAATCAGTAAGTGCTTTATTATGCGTTCTGTTCTCTTTGAATTTTTCATTTGTGGTTAGCCTCCTGTGCAGCCAATGCTTCATTTTGTCTTTATGGATCCCTCTGATCCTTCCAAAAGTAGAAACAATTAAGAGACAGAGTAAGAGAGACGCCTCTGAGGAGAAGGTCGTTGACCCCATTCAATGAACCATATTCATGAGTTATGCCATGCATGTTGCATCCGTTTGAATATTCATGTCTTACGTGTGCTCATGGCTAAGCTAGACTGTGTTCAATAGACAAACGTCTAGGAACTTGATTATTTTGTAAGCAATGGGGCTTTTTCCAAGCAAGAAAAAGCGAAAACCAGGGTTAGTGYTCAAAATGAATTCTGCGTATTATATTTCCAAGTTAGAGCTAGACTATTACCCTATTATATGTAATTTTGTCTTGTAATCGCTTTACTAAACTACTTCATTAATCGTTATAAACCTGATCTATTTTAAAAACGCAATATTCTTTATTTAAACAGTGGATTTAAGACTTTACTACCTATTACTAATATCTTGTGGAAWGGACTCGGTTTACCATGAAATGACAGACGATTTGAACCGTGTATTCAGCTGTTCATGTATTTCGACTCCATTATCATTAAGTTAAAAGATCGCAAGTGAGCAAAAAATCGAAAATATAAGTTTTGGTCGTRCTTTTGTTCAATTTTGCAATGACTTTCGCTTCACTTCATCCAGCTTRATGCTTCTTTCTGTCAATTGCCAATTTATTTTGCGATAAAATTAGCTTTGTGTAAAGTAAAATTCATATCAACATTTCAAAAGGTTTTTGAAGCTAGCCACTTCATGCAATTTATAATGAACTTTTGTATAACTGAAATAAGATTCAGAATGAAATGAAATGGTAATAATTATCTAATAAGCTGGATTTTAATCAMTTTTTTACAGCTCTAGGCAAGATTTAAAGCCTTTTATCTTAAATTTACTAACTTGTTATGGTATGATTTTGTCGTTGCTAGGCGACGTTTACTTAATTAAACGCCGGAGAGTCTCTCTCTTGTCAAAACATCAAAAGAAAGATTAACTCGCGATAATTGACCTGAACATTGAGCAATCAGAGAATAATTTTCCCGGGTCTCGTTTTACTTTTGTAACTTAATGACAGCAAAAAGCGAAAATATTTTAAACTATTACGGTCACTTCGCGACATGGCGGCTTGGCGTTACGTCTGTAATRCACTTAACGGCTTTGCGTGACACTAAATACATGTACATGTATGTCGGATCTCAAGCCTCATTAATTGGAAATTTTGCATGCTGCACAACTTTAAGGGAAACATGATCAGTAATTCTGTACATAGATAATTTAGAATTGTCAATATTTGTTTATCAATGATACATTTAACAATTTTGGTCACGGTTTTGGGTTCGTAAAATGTTCAAAACTCAACTTGGCAAACGAGCGTTCAATTGCGTGACATCTTAGTGTTGTCCGACTGTAACGCCACTGCATAGCAAGTGATGGAGGTGTGATAAACTGTGCAGTGGCGTTACAAACTGTCACGATGAATCGCGGAAAGGAAAGAATTAAGAAAGAGACTGAGTGAATGTTACGAATTAATCAATCTATCAATAATAAAGAAATAAATGAATAAATCAATTTATCATATAATTATCTATGAAATACCTATATTAAATCAATAAATAAACAATCCATGAACAAATACATAGATAAATGAATAAATCAGTGAATTAAATAGAATGAATAATAATGGTTAAATAAATGCATAGATAAAATAAATATATAAATAAACAATAAATAGATGAATAATGAATGGGTAAATAAATATATAGTATTGCATAAATAAATGAATAAAAAAATAAATGAATAKTAGTAAATAGGCAAATAATCAATAGATGGATAAATAAATAAAAAAACGGAGAAATTAATGAGTAAATAAATAGAACAATAAAAAATATATTAATAATTAAATAGATCAATAAATGAATAATAAATGGGTAGATTAATGCATAGATAATAAAATGCATAAATAGAGAAACGATGAATAAAAAAAAAATAGTCGATAAGCGAACAATAAATATATACAAAATTGTTAATGAAAATCTGTGAATACGTAAAGAATAAACCAAAGATTAGATGAACAAACTAATGAATGGAAATCAAATGGATGAACAATAAAAAAAACGAATTGATGAGATAAAAAGCGTATGAATCGACAAGAAATCAATATGCAAATGAAACTGAAAATGCCCCTCAAAATTAGTGAGATAGAACTAAATTTCCATTAAATTTGCATTCCGTCTTTGCAGACAAAGACAACCTATAAAATATTAATCCCCAGTTCRTATTCCCTCCAATCAGAACGCTCCTAACATTCAGGTAATTTCTCTCATCATGGACAGAGCTGTCCTCTTGTCGCCGTGTCCTGTGGTCAGTGTGACGCAAGGCTGTTTGAGATCAACTGTTACTTACCGTCCTTTTAATACAATTTATCTTTCCTTTCAGCTCATCGTCTGAATCAGCCATGTCTAAAGACGCGGAAAAGTAAGTTTACATGATATATTTTCCCTGGTTTTAATTTATATTGACTATTTAGTATTCGTATCAAGACCAATTTATGCCGGAATAATATACACTTCTAACTGACAAATGAGAATTATCACAACTTGCGATATCGTTGTAGTTCGCTTTTCTTCTCTGTTCAATATCGTTTCCTTGTTTTACCGCTCTACAAATTGTATTTAAAATTACTGATTTTTATTTTATTTTTTGTTTTGTTTTTGTTGAATTTCTATGAACAATTCGTAAAGTACATGTATTAGATAAATTCGATTGAATGGGTCTGTACATGTACAGCTTCTTTAATTGGAAAAATTATAATATTTTGTTTTTATTGAATCCAACTTTTTCTTTGAATAATGAGAAATGCAGCTGTTTTTCACAAAGTATAAATCCTACAAAGTATAAAATATCAGAGTTTACAATGTGATAACCGTTCAAATCGGCACTTGTCTATATATTATAAAACGTCTTCTTTTATTTTGAAATAATCCTCATTGCTATGTTTGAATTGCGACATCGTTTTATCATATGATTATCTTTGAAATATCTAAAATTCTCTCTTTCGAAACGTTGTTATTTTCACTAGTTGAAATAACACATTCGAGGTTTTTCTATATTTTGGAAGTAAAAAAATAAATATATATTTATACAGAATATATCTCAAAATGCAATTTGGCAAAAGGGAATAAATGAAAGGACAAACAAGAGTATACTGTTTGTACAATTTTCCTTTTTTATTTATTTATTTATTTATTTATTTAACGTTTTTTATTATTATTCCTAAATATTGTATTTTTTTTCCAATCAGTTCACTTTCTTTGTCTATAAAACAATAAGTATCCATTCTTCGACAAGTTTTTTTTAGTATGCAAATTTGTTGTTTGAGAAGTTGTTTCATTTTGTCAAAAGCCAGGTTCCTACGAGCAACGTTTTGCGTTTTCTTGAAATTGCGATCGCATCTGCGTTTGCATTTCCGATGTGCGAGCTGGTACATTTGTACTAATGTATGCATTTGCATCGCTGGTGGGAACCAGGGCGAAGTGTTGAAAATATGACCATGATCATTCTTTTTTTAAATACGGTTCTCGGACAGAACTGCGATTGTCAATCGTCAAGCGGTAAAAATAGAAATCGTCCCGCGTAAGCGTAAGGTATTACGGGAAAAAGCAGGCCTGTAGGCTGCCTTAGAAATCTTTCCTTTTTTCCTAAATTAAATGTTTGACTAAATTAGTTCAATGTACAGGTATAGTGTGTAGGAACTAGCTGCTAGAATAAGCAGTTCATAACAAAATACAACCTCACAAACAGTTCATAACAGAGGAATTTTAAAATAGAACAATCAAAAAAGTGAAACACCGGACACAGGAGCTTGTGGGGGGAGGGGAGGGTGATCCTACGAACTCACCGAAATCCTCCAACCTACGGGCCTGAACAGGCATCGTTATTCTGTGTTTTTGTTAATTTTCAGATGTAAGACCGAAAACAAGTACCCTTCAATGATTCAGAGCGACAAAGCCAACTCGAAAATGCTGTTGCGCAAGTACCTGACCGAAGAGTTATTTGAGGCGCTGAAGGACAAGAAAACATCGCGGGGGGTTACCGTATGGGAMTGTATCAACTCTGGTGTGGTCAATTTAGACTCGGGTATGTTATGTACGATATATATATCTCGAAAGAACGTTTTTGATAGTTTGGGCCTCTTCAGCCTCCACCAAGGAAATTCTTCAGTTTTCCTTCCTTCGGGTTTCCTTTGTAACGTTTGACCGTTGCGGACTAGACGCGCTTGTACTCTTCTACTATCTCGCCCGCTTTCGCTCTCTTTGGATCCCAGAATAAAGACAGGAAGCCCGTGAATCTTAGTAATGCCGGTGAGGGCCACTTCATAGTCATAGAACCCGTCCAAACRAATACTCCAGTTTCGAGATCTTATTTGTGCAGCCTTAACCTCGCGCATGTAATATATTCTTTTATTTTGCACAGATCCTATTGTAATGCAAACACTCTGTGCACAAAGAAGACAATGAAAATTTATCCTTAATTGGAGGAGATCTCGAAACTGGAGTATCTAGTAGATAATTTTTTCCGGATTCATTTCGACCATTCCTAAACCCGTGACGGTCCCGCGCAATCGTCCTATGTGACATTGYCTGTTATAAAATAACTTTCATATYACGCGCGCTMTGATTGGCCAAAAAGCCGTGTTTGACGAGAGCATAGTACACGCTCGAGTCATTTTTTTTCTCGGCTTTTTTTCTCATGAATATTTGAGCGCTTGTTATTTTATAAAAGCAATAAAAAACAGTTTTCCATTCGCGTCGTGGTTTCCTACGCTTCTCCCGTGTTCTCCCCATATCCCGCGTGTTATTATCAGAGTACAATACACGGAAAACTGTTTTTTTATTCCTTAAATCATTTCCATCACAGGTACCGGCGTGTACGCTGGCGATGAAGAAAGCTACTCCGTCTTTGCAGACTTATTCAATCAAGTCATTGAGGACTATCACTCTCCTTACAAACTCAAAGATGGACACGTTTCGGACATGAATCCYGARAAGKTYGAAGCRCCAAATCTYGATCCTGACGGCAAGTATATCAGATCGACGAGGATACGTGTTGCCAGGAATCTGAAGGGGTTTGGATTGGCACCMAGTCTAGGGAAGGAAGAACGGATTGATCTGGAGAAGAAGGTGAGTAACGCTGTTTTCAAGTTTGCATAGTTCATCGATCCCTTCTTCACATTGATTAATTACCAAACAATGAGCAGTTTTCCCAGTGGAATTGAAACTGTTCGAGCAACAAATACAAAATCGATTATTTTTACTAAATCTATTAGCTTTCCCTGATGAAAATATATATAAACAAAAAACGTATAAAAACAGGCAAGCTTCTAAATATTGCAGCAATCAGTGTCGCTTTGCCATGTTCTATATTAAAGGGATATTTTGGCTTGACCGACGTGGCAACATTAACTAGGGAGATAGGACAATGAATCGGGATCGGTCAATTCTATTTGTAGACACCTGCAAGAACATAAATAACAATGACTGGACACAACCCCAAAAAAATATTTGCTAACCAATAAAACCGGTTTAATATGCCTGTCTTCCTCCTCAAAAAGGGTGAAAAGTAGCTCTGATAACAGTTAATGAAATGGGCATCCAAAATTGGAATGTACCCGGCCATGTTAAACATGCTGTATTTTTCAAAAAGGTCGTTGGTGTGTTGAATTCCTTGACTGGAGATCTCGCCGGTACGTATTACGCACTAACTGGCATGGAGGAGAAGACRCGGCAGCAACTAGTAGATGACCATTTCTTRTTCAAGAAGGGAGACCGYTTCCTCGAGGCMGCAGGCTGTAACAAAGAATGGCCRGAAGGTCGAGGGATCTTCCACAACAAAGACAAAACCTTCTTGGTTTGGGTCAATGAGGAGGATCAGCTTCGTATCATCAGCATGGAGAAGGTATGAATCCAGATACATTTAGATCTCYAACGTGATTTGAGGGGATACAAGAGGGGAAGGGATGCATTGTTCGGCTTTCATCCACCAATCCCTTTATTCTAGCTAAGGACAGATTCAGATACAATGTACATCTTCGATGTCTTTGAATCCGAAAACGTAACCGGAAATATGTGGTACAATAAAAATCATTTATTTAGTACAAATAAAACAAATGGTCGAGTAAACGCACATTGATGGCAACACTTGGGTTTAAAGACGCGGTTGAAAAATGCATTGAAGTATTTCACTGCTTTCCAAACAAAACACCAAATTTCTAACGCATTTAAAACCTGCCTAACGCTCCATCTACATATAGGGTAGCGACATCGGTTCGGTATTCAGACGGCTGTGTACAGCTGTGAACGAGATTGATAAGCAGCTTGGATTCCAGCACACCGAGGCCCATGGGTATCTGTCATCTTGTCCCACCAACCTTGGTACTGGTATGAGGGCCAGTGTTCATGTCAAAATCCCTAAAGCAAGCGAACATCCTGATTTCCAAAAGATCTGTGATGAGTACCACATTCAAGCAAGAGGTAAGCTCGCATGAAAGGAACGATGAATGAATACATCCTCGTACTTTTTGTTGTGTTTTGTTGTTGTTGTTGTTGTTGTTGTTGTTGTTGTGTTTTGTTTTGTTTTGTGCGCAAGTCTTTTGTCGGTGTTATTGTATAGAAAATAGTTGTCAGGCAAGAATGTTTTATACTTTCAGGTATCCATGGTGAACACTCGGTGTCTACTGGTGAAGATGCAGGCGTGTTTGACATCAGTAACCGTCGTCGTCTTGGTCTGTCTGAAGTACAGTGTGTACAAGACATGTACAATGGAGTCAAGAAACTCTTAGAAATTGAACGCTCGTTTGAAGAGTAAGTGATAACCCAATGTGATCTTATTAAATTTTTTTAAAGATTTTAGAATTCGGATATGTGAGGCTCAACTTAGGAAGATGGTGGAAACTAGCGGTAAACTAGTGTGAGCTGTGTCGGTGTTTCTAAAGAAACAGTTGTGTAAAAAGATWAATTTAACACCGTAAAAAATTAGATGAAACAACTTACTGACGTTTCGGACGTTAACTTACTGACGTTTAGGATTAACATCCGAAACGTCAGTAAGTTATTTCACCTACTTTTTTACGGTGTTAATTTTATCAACTTAAGAAGCCAAAACAGCGGAGACGCCTAATGAGCTGAGCTTAAGTAAGTCTTAACAACAATATATACATTTTGTAATCTTAACAGTATCGACGAAAGCAAATTCCCTGAAGCYCTAARTGCTCCTGAAGTGAAATCCCTACTCAAGAAATACTTAACYCCYGAAATGTTCAATGAACTTAAAGACAAGAAGACCGCTGATGGTGTTACACTATTTGGCTGTATTATGTCAGGTGTCAAGAACCTAGACTCTGGCACTGGGGTATATGCTGGTGATGAGGAGTCCTACACATTGTTTGCACCGTTGTTTGATAAGGTGAGATAGGACAAAAAATAAAGGATGAATACAAAAATGATACATTGAAGTTTCATGTTTCTAAAATCGTTAAGGCCGATTTAGACGACACAACTTTTGTCTACAACCTTTGCATGCAACCTTCATAAGTCATCGTTACAACATGGCTACTAAACAACTATTGTAGGGATTTAAAAAATTCTTAATAGACCTACGACAGTTGTAACCGTGTTGCAAGGATGACTTACGCAGGTTGCATGAGATGGTTTTAGCCAAAGGTTTTGTCGTCTAATTCGGGCTTTAGAACYCTTGTCATGACTCATACATGGGCTCCCTGTCTCCTGGATATGACCTAGGGAGACTGTGAACCAGTAAAAAAAATCCAAAGCCCAGCCCAGACAAGGTGATAGCAAAGGGGTTGGAAACGCTTATTCAGCTTCAAATAAGTTYGTTCTGAAGTTCGGGTAAACCAAAAGCTACTGCGCTAATGACAAAAGGTCACTTATCTGCTAAACTGCTAAACTATGCTAACCATTATTAAACATCTCACATGCACATGACCGTCTTTGACGGTTAAGTGTTGTCTTCAACTGTTAGTGGCTTTGGAGTGTGCAACCCCTCCCCCTCCCCTCCCAACTGATCTCCAGCCATTGCTTCTCTCATTGACTCTGTTTTTGTTTTTAGATCATCGAAGACTACCATGCTCCTTACAAACTAGCAGACAAGCATWCCTCTGATATGAATCCCGAGAAAGTAGACGCACCAGATCTRGATCCTGATGGTACATTTATCAGATCAACACGAATACGTGTGGCGCGTAATTTAAAGGGCTACGCTCTAACCCCTGCTTTAAGCAAGAGTGCAMGAGTTGAGATTGAACAAAAGGTTGGTGTCATTGTACATTTCCTTCATTTTTATATATCTTTTTTGTCTTTTAAATCCTCTTGTAGGTGGAAGAGTAATGACCGTTTTCGAACATTTATGGATACAGTTCGCAAAAACGCTGGAAAGACCAGACATTCATAAAAGGGATTATAACGTGTTAATGAATGATAGGGTGTTTTGAAACGAGCTTTACCTACCAAATATGGTATAGAAATAGGCTAATCTACTTCATATATTTTATTTGGATGTTTGATAAGTATTTATCCGTTATACCATAACACAACCGGGACCCGAAACATATCGCACGGTGGTAACTGTTCTAATCTCCATATTATGAATTTCTGGTAGATACAGTTAGCTTTCTAAGGCTATACTTATAGAATTATTACTCAGCTAAAACGCTCAAAAAGACAATTTAGGCCAACAATGATATGCTTGTTTTAGGTAACTCAAGTTTTGAACAGCYTAGAAGGAGATCTAAAAGGCACATATTATCCTCTGACGGGAATGAGTGAAGAAACGAGGTCTCAATTGGTCAATGATCACTTCTTATTCAAGAAAGGTAGGCTTAAAACTAGTAATTCTTGGGATCTGTACGGGATCTCTGTGCGGTTGTTACAGGGTTTGTGCGGTTGTGTCATAAAATTCAAAGGACGGACTCATATTTTATCMAAGGTTTTCCTCTCTGGAGAACGGATTTATTGAATCCTTTTAAGATTTGGTTTCCAATGCATTTTGACGGAAGGTACTTGAACAAAAAAAAAAAAATTCGGATTTATACTTATGTAAAAAATGTGCAYGTTAATTTCTGTTTGTCACTCTCTGTGACATTCTTCTTGAAATAGCTGTGCCTTCTCTTGTGTACGACTGATAGAATGTATTTTATGCACAGGCGATAGATTCTTGGAAGCAGCAGGAGTCAACAAAGAATGGCCTGAAGGACGAGGAATCTTCCATAATAACGACAAAACCTTCTTGGTGTGGGTCAACGAGGAGGATCAACTTCGTATTATCAGCATGGAGAAGGTTAGTTGTCATGGAAGCAAAATGACTTGTTAGTGTATGTTAATGCATGTTAGTACATGTCAGATTCATCGTTTCTGTAAACAAACAAACAAAACAACATTAAACCCGAAATAAGTTCTGAAAATTTGGCGGAGGKATAAGCGATGATATTCGAGCAAAGTTATAATGTAGTCTATAKTCACGAGACCGATTCTAAGATGAATATAGCATTTTTCAAGAGTCAATTAGAATGCTTGGCTTGTGATAGTTCATAGCTAGATGGATGTTATTAGAACATNTAGAAATTGAAAGGGCAGCAATTGCGTAAGTAATTTAAGGAAACCTGTGAACCACTTAAGCAACATTCAATAGATCGAAAAGGTGTTTATAGCTCGGATTAAGATTCATATTTGCAGATTAAAATACATTAACCTAGACAAATTTGAACTTTCGCCCTAAGCGGGCATCTTCAGGATTGCAATCTTACGCTACGTTATTTTGTCAACCTGAAAATGGCCAAATGCCTCTTAGGAAGAAAGAGTCTCGATTAATGTCTTTGAATCTGCAACTACTTAGTTCCGTTACCTCTAACAAACGTAAAATTATTCATTCATTATATTTGATATCGTTTGATGTCATTTTAGCGAAGAAAGGTCGAAATTCCCAGACGCCATCAAAGCCGATTCCGTCAAATCTCTTCTCAAGAAACACATGTCCGAAGATGTCTTTAATGCCTTGAAGGACAAGAAAACATCACGAGGCGCCACACTCTACGATTGCATAAACTCTGGTGTGGTCAACCTAGACTCAGGCACTGGCGTGTACGCTCCTGATGAAGAAAGCTATGACGTGTTCAGTGACTTGTTCAACCCCATCATTGAAGATTACCATTCACCCTACAAACTTGCTGATAAACATGTGTCTGATATGAATCCCGAAAAGGTTGATGCGCCTAATTTGGACTCTGATGGCAAGTTTATTAGGTCAACGCGTATTCGTGTGGCGAGGAATGTGAAGGGGTATGGTCTGGCACCAGGATTGACCAAGAAAGAGAGAATTGATCTTGAGAAAAAGGTAACGGTGATCAACCCAACAATATGAAATAAAAAGAGAGGAACTCTAAGACAATCGAATGCTGTTTATAATGCAAATACAACCTGTTTCTAATAATTCTCAAGTCGTTATGTTCAGGATTTTAGTTACAAAGTAGCCCTTTGCATACTTTAAAAAGTAAGGTGAAGAAATACAACATCCCCCCCAAAAAAAATTGATCTTCAAGTCTACCGACAGCATTAGTGTTTTCCATTTTCCATTTCCTGTGTTATTATTTTGTGACAAGTTCAGTGCCAGTGTTTGATTAGGTGAAAAACGAGAAGCATTGATAYCAAAATTGAACAGCAACAATTTCTCGCGACAAGTTGAAAGGATTTCTATCCCGTAGTTGCTACAGTAAACGTGCAATGCCTCAATTTTATTCTGCATTACTAGGTTGTTGGCGTTCTGACATCTCTAACYGGAGATTTAGCGGGCAAGTACTTTCCTCTTACTGGTATGGATGAGAAGACACGACAGCAACTAGTAGACGATCATTTCTTGTTTAAGAAAGGAGACCGCTTCCTTGAAGCTGCTGGAGCCAACAAACTTTGGCCTGAAGGACGAGGAATATTCCATAATAACGACAAAACCTTCTTGGTGTGGGTCAACGAGGAGGATCAGCTTCGTATCATCAGCATGGAGAAGGTTAGTTGTTGCCTTTATACATGAGTAAACTTTGTGTAGTAATGTAACGTAGACTATTACTGGGTCAGTAGTAACAAATAGATGGTCGAGATTGTGTTGCCAGTAGTAACAAATAGATGGTCGATATTGTGTTGCCGTTACTTTCCACTCAWAATGATACAATTCCTTGGCGATCAAATTTCAGGTCGAGTAAATTAATCTTGAATTCATAGTCCAACCATCAGTCAATCAGTCCATTTGTCAATCAATGATAAAACATTAGTCGATAAGTCAACTATCCAACCAACCAATCATTCGAGTCAATAAATCATTCAATCAATCAGTCAATTAATCAATCAATCGGTCGATCAAGCAATCAATAAAACCAACTTATTAATAAATGAGTTAATCGGTAGGTCGTTCAATAATTATATTTAACAGTCCACACTCTCTGTCGATAATATAATTCTCCCATTGTTAAAATCAATAGCATTATTAAAGTTTCCAGCCAATTCAAACCACCCGAGAGTAAGTTTCATTTGTTAGCTGCATTTTCATTCCAAGGTTGAATTCTTTGAAACAAAGGTACATGGTACATGTCAACGCGTTGGCCTTGAGGTCTATTCGCTTAATWAATCAATACGAAAATATGTCAATCTGTCAATCAATCATTGATTTGTTTGTTAAAGGGTAGCGACATTGGTTCTGTATTTAGACGACTGTGTACAGCGGTCAATGAAATTGACAAACAACTCGGCTTCCAACACACTGAATCACATGGATATCTGTCATCTTGTCCMACCAACCTTGGAACTGGTATGAGAGCCAGTGTTCATATCAAAATCCCAAAAGCCAGCGAACATCCTGATTTCCAAAAGATCTGCGAAGAGTACCACATT